GGAGCAGGCACCGGCCGGACCGGACTAGGAACACGCACCACTGGCTGGTGCGAGGAGAAGGAACGGGCCGGGCCGGACTGGCGACACGCACCACTGGCTTGATGCGGGGAGCAGGCAGGGGCCGTAACGGACTGGGAACACACACCACTGGTCTGGTGCGGGGAGCAGGCACGGGCCGTACCGGACTGGGAACACGCACCACTGGCTTGGTGCGAGGATTAGGTACGGGGCGTACCGGACTGGGAACACGCACCACTGGCTTGGTGCGAGGAGCAGGTAGAGGGCGTACCGGGCTGGCGACACGCACCACTGTCTTGGTGCGAGGAGCAGGCACGGGCCGTACCGGACTGGGAACACGCACCACTGGCTTGGTGCGAGGAACAGGAACGGGCCGGGCCGGACTGGGAACACGCACCACTAGTCTGGTGCGAGGAGCAGGAACGGGCCGGGCCGGACTGGAGACACGCACCACAAGTCTGGTGCGAGGAGCAGGAACGGGCCGTACAGGACTGGTGAGGTGCACTGGAGACCAGGAGCATTGAGCCGGCACAACCCGTCCTGGCTGGCTGCCCACTTTCGCACGACACGTGCGTGCTGCTAGCACAGGACGTACAGGACTGTGTCGGCGCACTGGCGACACAGTGCGTAGCTCCGCATAACACGGAGCCTGCACGGTCACACGCTTCCTAGCGTGAGTATGGGGAGTTGGCTCTGCTCTGAACCCAGGCTTCGCCAACCATCCCGTGAGCCCCCCAAAAAACTTTCTTGGGGCTGCTTCTCGGGCTTTCGTCATGACCGTATCCTCTTGGGTTGCCGTTTCTCCTCTCCTGCCTGGGCTTCCTCCTTCGCCCAGGGTCCGCTGTCGGCTACTCTCTCCTTCTCCAAGTCCATCCCTTTCAGGGCCTCCATCTGCTTGGCCAGATCCTCTCTTATCTCCCCCCAAGTCCATGATCTCTGCTCCACTACCTGTGTCCAGGGTGTCTGCTGCTCCTGGGCACGCTGCTTGGTCCGTGTTTGGTGGGATCTTCTGTCACGTTCGTTGAAGGATGGGTCAGACCAAGGCGCAGCGTGAAATGCGTACATGTTTATTACAACGATAAACACACGAACAAAACAACAAACCAACGAAACGTGAAGTCCTAAGGCTAAACACAAAACAAGCCTCTACACGGAACAAGATCCCACAACCCATGATTGCCAATAGGCTACTTAAGTATGATCCCCAATCAGAGACAACGAGCGACAGCTGCCTCTGATTGGGAATCACACCCGGCCCAACATAGAATTACAACACCTAGAACGTAAACATAGAAAAACTAACATAGAATATCCACACCCTGACTCAACATACAAGAGTCCCATGAGTCAGGGCTTGACAGCTACTGCACTCTAAAGGGACAAGAGTAAGGTATTCTGAAAAATCTCTTAAGACCCATTCTGTATGCCGACAGTGGATTTTACATCTAGACAGGAGCAGAATGTTTCTTTTTCCTGACACCAGAAAAACTGGTTACTGGTGAAGACATCTTGCTCTCATGTTTCAGTAATTCCCATTCTGGTTCATCAAAGAGAAATGTTGAATGTCTCAATGGCCAGCAGGGACTGTTTTTAGTGATGATGTTGGTATTCTGTAAAGAATGCTGCTTGTCATGAGGAGAGACTCCCATTAGCATCTATATTATATACAGGTAACTGCCAAAACAAAGGAAACGCCAACAAAGTGTCTTAATAGGGCGTTGGGCCACCACAAACCATAACAGCTTCAATGCACCATGGCATAGATTTTTCAATTGTCTGGAACTCTATTGGAGGGATGGGACACCATTATTCCACAAGAAATTACATCATTTGTTTTTTTGTTGATGGTGGTGGAAAACGCTGTCTCAGGCGCAACTCCAGAATCTCCCATAAGTGTTCAATTGGGTTGAGATCTGGTGACAGACGGCCATTGCATATGGTTAACATTGTTTTCATGCTCATCAAACCACTTATGCCCTGTGGATGGGGGAATTGTCATCCTATTGGGGCATAGCCATGGTAGCCAAAATAATGCCCTGCCCAGCATTTTGATACATGACCCTAAGCATCATGGGATGTTAATTGCTTAATTAAATCAGGAACCACACTTGTGCGGAAGCACCTGCTTTCAATATACTTTGTATTCCTGTGTTAGAATTATTTTGGCAGTTACCTGTATATTACAGGCAAGCCACTGGAGAGGTACTTCAAATAATAATACAATAAATCATTTATATTCTAAATGTTGTTTGCCATCTATATTTACATTCTGTACCAAATTCAACCTTCAGACTGCAGAAGAAAAAGGAGACCGACAAGCTACACGGTAAGAATAAATTCAAGGGTTGGATAGAGTAAACGTGTCAAGTAACCTTGAGAATGGCCAAATAGACTCCAGGCACACAACGAGAATTTACTGTGTCAATAAATGTTGGGTCAAAAAAGTCCAATTCAGACTCCTTTGAATAGAAAGATGCAAATGTCGAGAGAATGGACTCATCAACTAGTACATTGAAGCACGTTCCTATCATGCATATTCTGTCCCAAGGAGAGCTGCCACATAACATTGGATTTCTATAAAAGAGGAGTAGTTTTATCCCTAATAAAGGTCTCCTCCAACACCCATAATGTAAAGCCACTGGGGAATAGGTGGGGGGCCTTATACATTATTTATGAAGCTAAACCAGTGCAGGATGTTGCCAAAACTCAAGCGGCAGCTATTTTTCCACGGTGCAGCTGTGGTGATTAATAGCTGACCTTCTGCGGGTCAGCCTCCCGCGTGGCTCAGGCCGGGTCCATTCAGGGCGAGATAAAACACATGAGCCTGCAGTCCTCCACAGCCATTCAGCTCCTCACACCCCAGCCACACTGAGGCCCTTGCTGCCCTCCTCGGTCCAATTAACCCATCACTGAGAGCCAAGACGGCTCCTTATAACCGCAAAGCCTTAATGAGCTCCCACTCCGGGGAGGAAACCATTTACACAGCCAACATGGAGGGATGTGTACTCATTTAGGACCTCAGAAGAGACTGTGTTAACAGATCTTATAGCTAGTAGTCGTGCTATATCAAATAAAACATGTCTCCTTTATGCTGATAAAATGTCCATTCAGGAAATGAGAGTAAGAGTATGGGGAAAGAGAGGACAAGGAAAACACAACTGATCCATGACTCAAGCCCTATAAAAAAAACAAGGAATTAAAGGAGAACAATTACTCCGACAGTGAGTAACGGATGGTTAGGCATGCATATGACCCATAATAACACCCCCACCAGTGTGTGTGCAGAGAGTCAGACCCCACATGGAGACTGTAGACGCTGGGTCTATAAAAGCCCTTCCTGGAGTAGAGGAGGCTGGCTGACTGGTTCTGGCTGGAAAGCCTCCTATAGCACTGCCACTTCAAAGCAGCACCCCCCTCTTCCACCCCCCTCCTCCACCCCCTGTCTTCCACCCCCCTCTTTCCCCTGTGGGAAGTCATTATTGAGTTAGCATTGGAGGCTACGCGCTTGTTTTCTCCCCTCCCTCCCCTTCTCTCTGCGCTGCGTTGCGGTGGGAGAAGCCCGGCTTGCGGTGAATACAAAGGCTGCTTTTGGAGGGATGGAATAATGTTGTACAAAGTGCAGTCATTACTACACCACTGTTGTGGGTTGCCCTTATTAATTGAGGAGGGACGGCATTTTAAGGTTGGAAAACTTCTGTCGAGACAAAGACTCTTCCATTTGTCAGACACAAGAGTTCTTGGATGAGGACGGGAACAGGGTGGTGGGGAGAAGGACATCTAGACTGAGGCAATTACAGACTTGCATTTCTTTCATCAGCCTCATGTTCAATGACATCATAAAACATTCAACACATGTCCCTACTCAGTCTTCTTAGGAGGCTTGGATTTCCTGACTTCCTGAGTTTGATGGAGTGTGTGAGGGAGTGTGTGAGGGAGTGTGTGAGGGAGTGTGTCAGGGAGTGTGTCAGGGAGTGTGTCAGGGAGTGTGTGAGGGAGTGTGTGAGTAACACTGAAGAACTGTGACAGAGGCATTATGCTGTATAACGAGGTGTTTGGAGTCATATCATGTGGGTTATACAGTCAGTCACTTCCCTCCAGCCATGTGTTGGTACCCTGCTATGGTGCCCCTTTTACCTCCCCACTGATCTCATAACATCCCTCTCACAGGACCGTTGACAGTCACTGATCTCACAACATCCCTCTCATGGGACCGTTGACAGTCACTGGTCTCACAATATCTCTCTCATGGGACCGTTGACAGTCATCACATCCATAGTAGGGATTGTAATCTTAGGAGGTATGAAAGAGTGCTTCCTTACTGTATAGAGAGACCATTAGTTGATGTGCAACATGAAGAGAGCTGGTAGAAGCTAGTTGTAGAGCTTGTTGTTTACCTAACTCCTATTCAAAACGAGGACTCAAGGAGAGGAAGTTGCCTCATATATTATTAGTGTACCACTGATGCAGCAGCACCGTCAGTGTTTCTCTCTCTCTCTCTGTGTGTGTGTGTTGGGCTTCCTGTGTAAGTACACAAAAGCTGGACGTCATGCAGAGAGGAAATCTGTAGTACTTATCCCTGTTAGCTGTGAGACAGTCTTGGCTTTGTTGAGCCCAGCGGGACACAGAAAGGATCTCCTGTCTCTGTGGTAGGGAGGGCTCAAATCAGACAGACCAGATACAATATCTATCTACTACCTCACAGACAAGGCCCAGGACAGGACAAGCTCCTGACAGACATAGGTGTATGTAGTGTAGTTACAGTACATACCCTCCCAGAGAGTGCCTGTGTCACACTAGCTGCATGGAAGGAGTGCAACCAGAAATCTGTAAGGAGAAAATAAAGCTCACCTGTATTCCATTTCCATCATTCCTACAATTTCATTAAAATAATTGTAAATGCAGCCAAACCACTCTAATTAGCTAGCTTCCGAATTGAACAAAATACACATTTCTAGGAATTACTCAAGAGAAATTTAACATTTCTAAATTAGACTCCCACTGGGCACCACAGTGTAAATTGTTGCCACCGCTGCAAAAAGAAAGTAATATTATATGTTTCTGCAGAGACGCGCTGATAAAGATCCTAGAGAAACAACTGCTGACAACATACAAGTACATTCCCCAGGCGTCTGGCCGTGGCGACGAGGCTTGACGGGCCCACTGAACCCCCCTAAACCCAGTGGCCTGAGGTGGTCAGCCTGGTTCTAGCAGCAGCTGGTTGTCCCTGTGGGGAGCCTGTGTCCCCTGAGGGCCTCCTGGGGCTGTGGAGAAGAGAGCTCTCCTCTGGGCATTGTCATACACACAATGTGTGTAGAGGCTGAATGGATGGCAGCGAGAGATAGAGAGAGAGACAGAGAGAGAGAGAATGAAGGGAAAGAAAGATTAGCGAACCCTTGAGCTCGACACTCACAGGTTGCCATGGTTTTTGCTCTAGGATTTAATTGACCCAATTAATTGATTGTGCGGCAGACAGCGGTTAAAGAGGGGGGAGGAATGTGCGAGTGCTGAAAGAGCAAGGGTAAGTTAGAGCCCTGCTGATTCAACTGAGGTACAGTAACACAACACCGATCCTATGGGCTTCGTTAGACTGATGAGAGACGAGAGAGAGAGAAAATGAGGACCGGGTTTTCATTTCACAACACTGCATGGGTCATCAAAACCACCCAGTGAAACAAATGGTAAATAGGTGCTTTCATTTGCTAGTGGCAGATCATTGGAGGAAATGTTCAATGTATCTGACAATTCAAAGATATGTGAATGATACAATTTCCCTCGGTAATGTGGAGCCTGTTGTAAACAACATTCATTATCCACTTTAAACACCTTTTATCAGATCTTGTTGATCTGAGAGTGGACTGTCCACTTGTTTGTCTGTGTGTGTGAGTCTGTGGAGGGAGAGGGTTTCACTGGTCTAAATCACTGAAGTCTTTACAATGCTATAAATTTGAGGCCGATGTCTCAGCAGTCGGAGGGACTTTAAGAGCATGAACGCATGTGGGACAGCCCAGAGAGACAGACAGTATAAATCAACCCACTGAGCAACGCATTCATTAATCACTATGTCCATCATGAGCGGCTGATCGTGTCTGGGAGCTGACTGTGGGGAGGACTGACAAGACAGGGGATTACAGCTCAGCTCATCTTACCCCGGGAACCACAGAGAAAGATAGACAACTCACTTAGCAGGAATGACAAATCCTTCACGGGGGAATATCTAGCCGTGAGGAGTAGAACAATGCTTATACAATCTGTCATCAAACCTGTCACTGGCACAAAGGGCTGCCACAACTAACCATATGTGATAACAGAGCGCCGTCTATGGCTTGCAAACCACAGCTGGCTGCTGCTCGAGGTCTGCCTGCCTGCCTAAAGAACAGACAGCTCTCCTCTCGCTGCTGCTTTGCATGGCAAGTGGACTGCGCTATTTTATTCCACATTCAGAAAGGAAAGAAATGCAGTCTGTGAGGCACAACAATGTAGAACAGTTATGAAATGTCTACCTGGGAATAGATTCACGGCAAGACAATGAAATGGAATGGAATGCCTGGGCTCTGGAGGTTTTCCCAGCCAGGTGCCCTGAGGCAACCGCTACAACAGGAGGGTTAGTACCTCTGTCTGGACTCTGGACAGCCGCTTCCTGGCTGTCTCTACTCTCTCTGTGTCGGTCTCTGCTGACACCACAGCTGAAAAGAGCCAGGTCTCAGGGCAGAAAGATGAAAAGCTTTGCTTTGTTTATTGCCTGAAAAATGTAAATGGAAAAGGGAAATGTAACAATTCAATCACAGGTCAATGCGGCAAGCACGAGGACTAATCCATTTAATGATCGATGTGGCGTTGTAGCCAGTGGAAGGCAGTTTGTTGTTAGGTCAAGCTGACATTTAGCGCCGATGTAAAGTGGGGGAGGGGAGGAGAGGGAGGCAGATGGGAAAGCTCAACCTCAGATGCCTTTCTGCCGTTTCATCTCCTTGACTCTGACTGAGGTAAGACTGATTGAGTTTTCCAGTGGCTTGACAGTGCTGCTCTGCTGCTCCAAGCACACACTGAGAGAGAGAGAGAGAGAGAGAGAGAGAGAGAGAGAGAGAGAGAGAGAGAGAGAGAGAGAGAGAGAGAGAGAGAGAGAGAGAGAGAGAGAGAGAGAGAGAGAGAGAGAGGGGAGAGAAAGAGCAAGAGAGCTCAGGACCAAAACTCTCTCTGTACTCTCTTTTCCCTGTCTGCTGCAGCGTAACAAACAGATCGACAGGGACTCTAACTCCGATCTCCACCATTGATTTATTATTAATTGGCCATCGAGGCGTTTTCTTTTCCAGAGAGAATGGGACTTTGCTGGCAACATTTCAACCAGAGAAAGCTCCATCAAACTCCCAGCTGTCTGCATCTGGACGTGGGGCCTACAACATCAGGTGCAAAATGTTTTTCAGACGAGCACAACACTTTTCCAGACGAGCACATCATTAATTGGAAAATATGTACAAGGGTGAGGAAAGAGCTGTGCATGCTATATCAATTAAGGAAGAAACTACACAGATCCTTCTTGAGTTAACACACAAGCACACATCTTATACTGCACAGTGCACTATCTATCTGCTTCTTCTCAACTCAGTCTCAGTATGACCTACTGGGACTCCACTGCAGCACGGAGGGAGAACATACAGACCACACACTCTCCAACGGCACCTTTGACACAGGAAAATGGATACAGGTAGATTGCATCTCACAATGGCTCTGTCAGTCAAGTGGCCGTGCTGTGACAAATGAGTCGTCTAATCCTCTCATATGGTGCAGAGCAGTGAAGCATCATGGGAGCTGAGAGCCAATTTCCTTGGCCCTGGGAGGTCATATTCCCAGGACTTACTTGACCCTCTGGATCCAGACACAGTGGTCTGTGATGTAGAGGTTGTTCAGTAGGTAGGCCGGCTCATTTTCCTGGACGACTTTGTGAATATCCAACAGGCACTTCAGGACGCATGCTTTCCCAGGACAAGGAAGACAGAAGGAGTAGAAAAACAGCGTTAATCTATGGCCGTGTGAGGAATGGTAATATATACAGTACCAGTCACAAGTTAGGACACACCTATTCATTCAAGGGTTTTTCTTTATTTTTTACAATCTTCTACATTGTAGAGTAATAGTGAAGACATCAAAACTATGAAATAACACATATGGAATCATGTAGTAACCAAAAAAGTGTTAAACAAATCAAAATATATTTTATATTTGAGATTCTTCAAATAGCCACCCTTTGCCTTTATGACAAACATCCTTTCTTCAAAGTATAGGCTAAACAGGCTATGGGAGATCATGTGAGCATTGCAAGATCATACTATTGCAGACAACTCATGACAGAGAAGCAATTAATCAACTTTCAGGTCCCTTTTATCTAGTCCACTTAGTCCAGAAAGGCAACTCAAGTGGGCCTAGATAATCCAAACGGTTCATTTCATACCAGTTTAGGAACTCATTTATTTGTCCTGATTTCCCACAAAGGGAAAGCCAAAGTATACCATTACAAAAAGACATACACCTGGAGGGAGCCAAGTTAGATCCTTTACATTTGCTGCCACAAAATCCCTTTCTCAACCCAGGCATATAAATAGGTGGGGCGCAATTGGCCCGTTGCAGAGCACTGAGGTCTAGATACAATCCTCCTGTCCAGCATCCACCTCCAGGATTGGCTGACAGCAACCAGAGACATTGTGGTCCTTTCAAAACAAACAGAACACTCACTCTGAGGAAAACCTTACACAAACATTTAGTTCTCATTTAGAGCATGAGCTGTCTTACAGAGGGAGCAGAGAGAGAGAGAGCTCAGCTTCCAACTCCATGGCCAGGATGCAGAGCACAGAGACACAGCTCTCCTCTCCCTGCTCCAAAAATCACGGTTTTACTTTTCTCCCTCTTCCTCCCTGGGAGCGATGGCTGTTTCATCTCCAGCCTGAAGAGCTAGCCTGGGAGGGAGAGAGCCGTGCGGCGCAATAAATCCTGCACTCGTCTCTTTTACACTCTGATGACAAGTTGAGCCAGTTCATCATGTTGGTGGCGGGCCTAGTGGCTGAGCCCTGGAGAGGGTCAGACAGACAGGCAGGCAGGCAGGCCCAGGAGGGAGGTGCATGGGCATAGCAACACAGCTGCCAGAGGGGCACTGCCGCCTAACATCCATCATGGCAAAGTGACAAGACACATTAGGCAACACACAGCTGCACATACTGTATAAGATAACTGAAGACTTTGTTATGGTTTCAACTACTAGTAGGGCCATGTGCACTTCTACAACAGCATACGAGCTCATCATCCAGTGGAGACTCCAACATTTTCTAGAGCCATATTGAAGTAGAGTGACTGCTAAATTACAGCTAAATGTTAAAAAGCCAAGGGAAAATGGTCAATAAAAAATATGACAGAGAAACGTGAGTTGAGCTATACTGAGGAACAGCAATTACGGAACATTTCAAGGTCAGTATAGGCTAGTGCGGCAGTCAACTCCAGTGGGTCCTACTGTCAGCTACACGACAGCAGTCGTGCTTAACCCTCCCTACGTCCTTACCCAGCTCTCCCTGCCTGGCGGCCCATTGGTTGCAGCCACTTAGCAGGCAGCTGGATGAGCTCCAGTAGCTCAGTTGGAAGAGCATGGCGCTTGCAATGTCAGGGTTGTGGGTTCGATTCCCACGGGGGGCCAGTATGAAAATGTATGCACTCACTAACTGTAAGTCGCTCTGGATATGAGCGTCTTCTAAATGACTAAAATGTAAAAAAAAAATGTAATAAGCGTCCGTGCTGCCCGTCTGGCAATTCTGGCAAATGCCAGAAGGACCATATTTTATTTGGGTGGGATGGTCGAAATGTAAAAAAATATATATATGTAAAAGAAATAATGGACACAACCGACGGCAAATGGCCCAGTTTTTTCTATGACTTTTGCACCTTTTCTCTGTTGTCATAATCATCTACACTGAGTGTACAAAACATTAAGAACACCTGCTCTTTCAATTACATAGACTGACCAGGTGAAACTTATGGTCCCTTATTGATGTCACTTGTTAAATCCACTTCAAATCAGTGTAGATGAAGGGGAGGAGACAGGTTAAAAAATGAATTTTAAGCCTTGAGACAATTGAGACCTGGATTGTGTACACTACCGTTAAAAAGTTTGGGGTCACTTAGAAATGTCCTTGTTTTCGAAAGAAAAGCAATTTTTCTGTCCATTAAAATAACATCAAATTGATCAGAAATACAGTGTAGACATTGTTAATGTTGTAAATGGCTATTGTAGCTGGAAACGGCAGATTTTTTATGGAATATCTACATAGAGGGGCCCATTTTCAGCAAACATCAGTCCTGTGTTCCAATGGCACGTTGTGTTTGCTAATCCAAGTTTATCATTTTAAAAGGCTAATTGATCATTAGAAAACCCTTTTGCAATTATGTTAGCACAGCTGAAAACTGTTGTGCTGATTAAAGAAGCAATAAAACTGGCCTTCTTGAGACTAGTTGAGTATCTGGAGCATCAGCAATTGTGGGTTCGATTACAGGCTCAAAATGTCCAGAAACAAATAACTTTCTTCTGAAACTCGTCAGTCTATTCTTGTTCGGAGAAATGAAGGCTATTCCATGTGAGAAATTGCCAAGAAACTGAAGATCTCGTACAACGCTGTGTACTACTCCCTTCACAGAACAGCGCAAACTGGCTCTAACCAGAATAGAAAGAGGAGTGGGTGGCCCCGGTGCACAACTGAGCAAGAGGACAAATACATTAGAGTGTCTAATTTGAGAAACAGCCATTTACAACATTAACAATGTCTACACTTTCTGATCAATTTGATGTTATTTTAATTGACAAAAAAATTGCTTTTCTTTCGAAAACAAGGACATTTCTAAGTGACCCCAAACTTTTGAATGGTAGTGTATGTGTGCCATTCAGAGGATAAATGGGCAAGACAAAATATTTAAGTGTCTTTGAATAGGGTATGGTAGTAGGTGCCAGGTGCACCGGTTTGTGTCAAGAACTGCAACATTGCTAGGTTTTTCACGCTCAACAATTTACCGTGTGTATCAAGAATGGTCCACCCCCCAAAGGACATCCAGCCAACTGGACACAACTGTGGGAAGCATTGGAGTCAACATGGGCTAGCATCCCTTTGGAATGATTTCGACACCTTGTAGAGTCCATGCCCCGACGAATTGAGGCTGTTCTGACGGCAAAAGGGTGTGTGCTTAATGTTTTGTACACTCAGTGTATATTGAGCATTTGGCTGGTCGGCCCAATTTTCTGATTGGCTGAGCTGAGGTGGCGCAACTTCACATTAAAATTCAAACGTGCATCATCAAAGAGTGTGAGAACCGCTCTGACTCTCTGCCAGTCAAAACGGAATGGTGGTGCCGAAAACCTTAGAGAGACCAAAAAAGGGCTCGAGGCCGACGCTGCTAAATGTGTGAAATTAACCTACTTATTTCCTAAAAGTTCTGGTTCTGCTGGTCCGAGTGCTTTGTCTGTGAGAAATGACATATCAGCTGCTGTGGTGCAATCGAGGTAGGAAGAAAACAGAAAGACACACTCATTAACGCACACTGACACAGATAGGCCTAATATTTTGGCTGTATATTGTATATAAATATATTTCATACCTACTATAGTAGGCTAATTAGGGAAGGGGGATTCGGGGGAACATTTAGACACTATGCTACTTGCAATATACCCTAACAAGTCGTTAGATTAGCTTTTATAACACATACAGTAGGTTAGGCAATAGCCATCTACTAGACATTTATACAATGCTTTTTACAAAACACAAGTATTTTTTACTTAACACATGTATTACAATAACGGTCAATTCGGGGACTGTCTGTGTATTTTAATTGTTTGATCAATGTTTCATCGCTTCTGAATCTCAGTCTCTTCAGGGTTTATGAGCTGTAGTAACAAGTGACTCTGGTGTCGGACTATATTATATAGCCACCACCACTGAAGGCTGGAAAGTCCCGCCTATCTCCATCTTATTTAATTTGCTGAAAGGCCCATCACTTCTTGGCAGAAAGATACACATACACGCGTGGCACTGTCAAACTAAGCAGACCGCTGGAACTCTGTCCACATAAACTAGTCCCGGCTTCATTCTTTGACAAACACAGAAGGTTGTATACTGAATTCAATAGAAGAAAACAGAGAGATCGAAGAAGAGAGAGACCGCCAGTTCCTTAATGTAGCCATTGGCTATATTATACAGCCAAACCATTAAGGAACTGGCAGTCTCTCTCTCTCCTTCTCTCTCTCTGTTTTCTTCTATTGAATTATATGTAGGGGGGGTTGTGATGGACACTTGACATGCACTAATTCAAATATATAATTAGGCTGTTATAAGATATTATATTGCCCCACTGGTCATCTATAAGGCATTTATTCAGTGATTATCTTCGTCTAATATATGCGTTTATTCATTCACAACCAGGATGGTTAACACTTTAAGGGTCTGTAACAAACCATTTCTAAGGCATTTAGAAATTGTGTGTTCACTATTTATTAATCATTACTCCCACATTAATAAACCATTTACTAATCATTCTTAAGGTCTTTTTGCAGTCCCTAATCTAAAATGAGTGGTATTTATATTTTATAAATACTTTATAAATGTTTTGCGTGACCAGTGTAATTTCTCACAGAAGCACACAACACAGGATGTTTAAGGAAAATATATATACACGTTTGAATAACTAGCTTACTAACATTTACAAATGTGGGAGTAATGATTAATAAATAGTGAGCAAACGGTTTGTAATATATAATGCTAAGCCAAAATATCAATAAACTGGCAGGTAGGGGGTTGCTGGGCCCAGCACAGGCAGTGTGGTCCCCTGGTCTTCTGGTCCCAGTGATGATAGGCTTAGCAGAACAGACAGCTCAGCTGCTGCTGCAGCCGTCAAGTGTAGTGGACGTAGGGAAAAAACAGAGACAGAGAGCGAGAGACACACACACACACACACACACTGACACATGTATGTAATAGTAATTAACCCTTAGGATAGGGGGGACTTGTATGATAGCCAGGTACTTATATTTGCTATCATAAGGTATTATGAGCCAATGGTCATCTATTAGGCATTTATTCAGTCATCTTTCTTCTTCTAATAAATGTGTTTATTCATACACAACTAGCAGAGGCAGTGTGATCCCCTGGTCTTCTGGTACCAGTGCTGTGGGAATGGATGCTAGGCATAGCAGAGACAGCTCAGAGGTGAGTGTAGTGGAGGTAGGAAGAAAACAGAGAGACACAGATGTACTGCCAGTTCCTCAATATGTTGGCTCTATATGTAATAGCAATTAACACTTAGGAGTGACAGACAGAGTGACAACAGAGGATAACAAGGAAAAGCAGACAGACAGACACAGTGACAGACAGATACTGCGTGCAGTGTGGCTGTAATGCCAGGGCTGAATCTTTATCCCAGTCCGCCCCTGCAGAGGGCTGTTCAAATATTTACCCCTTCAAGGCCTTAACCTGCCACTCCCCCCAAGACATTAATGGGTTTGTTTTCCTAATATCTACCAAAGTTTGCTTTCACAGCCGTTTAAACTAAGTGCCTCAAATTAGAGCACACATTTTCATTTGCCTTATCCTGACAAATTAATTAGCTGTGCAGAGTAATGCTGGGAGGAAACGTGTGGTGCCCTCTCAGACGTACAGTACACCAGCCAAGCTGCATTACTGTAGCTTTACAGTTCATTAACGAGAGCCCTATTACCCACACATACACACTCACTTGCCTGATGCTGCTGCACGTAAATAAAGAAAATGACAGGCCTGAACAAAATGTCATTGAATTTGCAGAGGGAAACTCATTCAAATGAAGAGACACACGTGCTGTTGTTGGCCTGCTTAGACTAATATCATCAGTTAGGCTTGGTTGCATTTTCCAGCACAGAAACAACTGGGTATGTGACTGTTTATTAACTAAATGTCCAGCGTCAGGAGAGAGAGTGAAACAGTGCATTATAACAGGTGAAGTTGTGTGTTTGTTTCTAGAGAATGAAGGTAGATAGTGTAGTGTAGTACAATGAGGCTTCCTTCACAGTGACTAAGTGGGATTCTCTGATTCTCTCAGTCGTCTGATCAACTCATCTCCTTACTTAATGAGGCACGGAAATGCTAATCTGGAGCTTAAAATAACCTTTAATTTGCAGACATTGACGAGCGTTTAATTCATCACAAACTGGATAATCTCACCCCACACACATCCTAAATGTGTTTACACGGCAGAGCCTTCATCTAGCTACCCGCAGAGCTTTGATTTAAAGATGACTTTGTGCTGGGAGATAAAGTCAACAGTTTGAGTCCGTATGGAACAAATCCACACTTCCTGCTTGGAGAGGTTGAACCAGACAGACAACTCTGTTGGAGAGATATGCTATACTGCAGCATGAATGAGAGGCCTTCCTCTAGATACTTTATTCAGTGCATTGTTTTGAGCAGGAAATATTCTGCTTGTATGCGGGCTGCTCTGCTCTGCTTGTGGTGGTATGGTGATGTATGACTTTGGGTGCATGCTGGCTGTAAAGCCGTCTTTCTGTCAGTCTCCAAAGCATTGAACAGACAAGCTGCAACCCACAGCTACCAGGCATGCTTTGCCTTCCAACAGATATGCATTAAACCACATAATTTCCATCAAAACATTGGTCAGAGTCCAGAGAGTGGTACCAAATCAGTGCTTTCAAATTAAGCCTAACTATGCTGTCACATTCATTGGGTGGAAACGAAGCCATATTGAGGGCTTTATCATTTGGGCACAACACTGAGGCTGCCAATACTGCTCTAACCAGCGTGCACAAACTGGCCATTAAGGTGTGGAGGTGTCTGGCTGCCTCAGGGCAGGGGTCAGCGGTCACAGAGGGCATCGTCTAGTCTAGACTCACCTGACTGGAAGATCCGAGCTGCATCCTGCACGGCTGCAGAGACCAGGGCAAAGTGCCTGTAGAGCGGGTAACACAACACCCTCCTCCCAAAGGCCACCAGGACCTCCTGCAACGAGCTGTACACCTGAAAGAAAACAAACCAAAAAGACATACTGCATTTTCATCATGGCCAGACACATTAAAAAAGGGAAACCTTACAAAAGAAGAGTAAGGGACTTCATCTTTAAAAGTTTGGCTCAGCAGCCTCTTGCTTTTCTCTTTCCCTCCAGCACTAAGCAGGCTTGCCCACTCCTAATTGCAGTCCCTTTTATAGAGGGGGAAATAAGCGAGGAACTCTTAAACACCTTCTGCAACCGCAGCCTTTAAATTGTTGGTGGTCCTTAATCACTTTTTTAACGCAAGGCTTTTCTCTGCATCGGTGGACAATAGAGCTGAGAGAGAGCCCTCTGCTTCCCTTTTTATTCATCCTCTCTGGCTTGTTAAGACTGTGCTCAGAGAGAGTGTCTCGTTGCATGTCAGCAGGGCTCATCCCCTCTCCCCCGGGGCTGTTTAGCAGCATGGCTGTAAATAAGACAGCTGCACACCAACCACCAACCCTGTCTGAATGGTTAGGAGGCTGGTTAACAGCTACGCCAACCCTGTCTGAATGGTTAGGAGGCTGGTTAACAGCTACACCAACCCTGTCTGAATGGTTAGGAGGCTGGTTAACAGCTACACCAACCCTGTCTGAATGGTTAGGAGGCTGGTTAACAGCTACACCAACCCTGTCTGAATGGTTAGGAGGCTGGTTAACAGCTACGCCAACCCTGTCCGAATGATTAGGAGGCTGGTTAACAGCTACACCAACCCTGTCTGAATGGTTAGGAGGCTGGTTAACAGCTACACCAACCCTGTCTGAATGGTTAGGAGGCTGGTTAACAGCTACACCAACCCTGTCTGAATGGTTAGGAGGCTGGTTAACACTTTACGCTCGTAGGAATTGGCCTATATGGATAGGGCTAACCTGAAATGTTTCTTACAGAAGAAATATTAAAAGCATATGCATAACCATGGTAGCAATTGAAAGGGAACAGTTTGGAGATAATGTGGAAATTGTGAGTACACAACAGTTCACCTGCCACAAGATTGAATCCAAACATTACGCTTGATTTTATGTGCATTTTACATTTAATGTACTTTGCCGCATTTGTTGATAACGAAATCTGAAAATACTCTGGATCCATTCAGTAAGATAAGACTATTCCTGGAAAATGTGGGGTATGTGCAACATAAGACAAATAAATGACAACGTTTGAGTGAGAGGTCTAACTGGTGTCTCCAAGGGGCCACCCACCTCTTCAAAGTGTGCACAGATCTTAAGCAATTTCAATGTACTTTTATAACTCAAAGAGCCTTCAACTATAAAAGTACTTTTTTGAACTCTCCTAGCTGTGCCGTTGAGGAACTAGAGCAAGCACACTTTTAGTTTAGTTTAGAACACAACCCTGCATCCCTGCCATCACACAATTACTGTTGTTGTTTACGCAATCCAAAAACGGTCCATTATAAATTGCAATCTGGGTCAGGTGGGCATGATTTGAAAGCTTGTTCTATTGCCAGCATGACTAGCTAAGTTATGAAATATGATCTTAGAGTGTTAGGCAATTCAGAGAAACAGATCGTAATTTTGTTGCTCATAGAAAGGAGTCATGAGTGCATTCAGGTGTGTGCGGCGCGTCAAATTTTCGGCACAATAAACAAACATAGGCTCATTCTGTTGAGAACAACCGAGGGTTTGACGCCATGTCATCTTGTAACAGTACACTCTATGACATGAGTTTTATGATTTGGAAATGCACATTTGGACTCACGGGTGTTTAGCTTGCTAGTATGACATCAAAGTCTCATCTTTCAAAATACATCGAGTCCTCTTCATTTACAGCTTTTACCTCACTCAGACAACAAAACATTTGCAAAAGTTGCCCAATTACCGGGAGCAGGGTTCATACACATTTTTCCCCATTACTTTTAACCAACACTGTAAGGCTGCTCTCTGATCCCATGTACCATTTCCTGTCATTGTACAAGGCACTTAACCCCCCACAAAGCAGAATAGCTGTTAGGCAACTGTAAAAAAACACATGTGGTCAACCCTCAGTCTGAAGAGCTACTGGGTGTGCAGGCTTTTGATCAAGCCCTGCTCAAACACATCAGAGCCAGTTTATCAAGGTCCGGTTAAGCAGGTAATTTCGAAAATGTGGTTTGTTAGAGGGAAACTGGAATAAAAGCCTGCACACCCATTAGCTCTCCTGGAGGATGGTTGACCACCCTTGATGTATATATAACATTACAACCAAATAAGTTTGATTCCTTTTGAAATAATTCGCTCATTCAATATATCAAAAGATTAAATGGCTATGGTATGCTACAAATCTTTTTATTCAGCTGAAGCAACCCCACATATTTTCTCCAGGAAATGTACCGTTTTCAAGTTTAGTCATACTTATCTTAGCTACCGTAGCTACCTTAGAAGTGTTTACTTTGCAGGCTGACCAGCATCTATTGCGTTGCAATGTCCCATACATTGAATGCCCAAATCAACTGGAAGTATCTACAAAACAAGTTTTAAAGCCACATAATCGAAAAGAAAGGCTACATCAAATCTTTTTTTCCCAAAATTACTGTTCATGATTCACAAATTATTATTTTGATTCACATTATTCGATTCACTGCGATTGAACCGAATCCCAACTAATACAATAGCGAAGTGAATCGTTCATTTGCACATTTTCGTGGAACAGTTTAATTTCATTTAAAATAAAGTCTTCATATCTCAAAATCAATGTCACGTGGTTAATCTAAATTCTATCTAAATGACAATGCTACAAATCTAAAAGAAACTTCTACTGCCATTGGCAAAATGTAAAAATTGCCTACATCAAGCCAACAAATAAAAACATTGCAGCCAGCCGGTAGAAAATATATTGATAAAAATAAATATCCTATAAATCACATTGGCTACGCATGGCCTTTCTGCAAGGAACTTGAACCATTGTATCAACTATTAACTTGGTCCGGCTGAAGCTTGTTCTAGCAAACTTGCAATATTGTATAATATTCTGGGCCCTCAGAGTTTGCCAGTGAGCTCCGGACAGACAGACACAGCTGTAGGCTATTTGCGCAAAGGATAAGAAGTAATCAGGTAGACCTTTTTTATGACGTTTCCACCGGATCAGAGCATGACATTTTTTCCCCTTTCATGCTGAGTGGTTATCGAAAGGGAGAGAGTTGGAAAGATTTTTCAAATAGGCTACCTTGAGGAACTATTGTCATTCTCAATGGATGTAAAACCAGACTTTGTTTACTTGCTGTTTGAGGCAAACACAAAATTACTTTGAGAAGTTACACAGTGATGGTGAGTTAAGACAATCAGAAATAGTATCAGATCCCCAGATGGGCACATTTATAAGCCTACATTCGCGTGCAGGCCAGGTAGCCTAGGCCTACTTCTATGCGTAATCAGGTGCTTGTCCGTACACAAGATTGACAGGAGCGCTCCAAACAAAAGACAATGAACAAATTGACAACTCGTAAATGGAATGAAATAAACCAAAACTTACAACGGGTAAGACTGTAATAATAATACATTGAATGGATTAACAGAAATTACTGTAAACAAACAAACATTGTAGATGATAAATGATGGTAATTAATGGTAAATGTACTAGTGGTGATACTGCTGTGCCATCCCTGCAGCCTCCGCAATGGATTAGTCCACTCAGAAAGGCGGCTCGTGTGCCATAACATTTTTTTTACATATTTGCCACTGCTGGACAAAAAAAAATCTTGGTCAACCAAAAGCCTAACGACCAAACAATCGACCAGTCGACTAAATGGGGTCAGCCCTAAAACAGTTACTAGAGGATACAAGATACACTGAGTATTCAAAACATTAAGGACACCTGCTCTTTCCATGTGAAAGACTGACCAGGTGAGTCTTTCCATGTGATAGACTGACCAGGTGAATCCAGGTGGAAGCTATGATCCCTTATTGATGTCACTTTTTAAATCCACTTCAAGTCAGTGTAGGTGAAGGGGAAGAGACAGGTTAAATATTTTTTTTTAAGCCTTGAGACAATTGAGACATGGATTGTGTTTGTGTGCCATTCAGAGGGTGAATGGGCAAGACAAAACATGTAAGTGCCTTTGAACAAGGTATGGTAGTAGCTGCCAGGTACACCGGTTTGTGTCAAGAACTGCAGGGCTGCTGGGTTTTTCATGCTCAACAGTGCGCTACCAGTGCACCAGTAGATGATAATCAGTGGATATACAGTTGAAGTCGGAAGTTTATTCCGTCAAATTCCCAGTGGGTCAGAAGTTTACATACACTCAATTAGTATTTGGTAGCATTGCCTTTAAATTGTTTAACTTGGGTCAAACGTTTCGGGAAGCCTTCCACAAGCTTCCCACAATAAGTTGGGTGAATTTTGGCCCATTCCTCCTGACAGAGCTGGTGTAACTGAGTCAGGTATGTTGGCCTCCTTGCTCGCGCACACTTTTTCAGTTCTGCACACACTTTTTCTATAGGATTGAGGTCAGGGCTTTGTGATGGCCACTCCAATACCTTGACTTTGTTGTCCTTAAGCCATTTTGCCACAATTTTGGAAGTATGCTTGGGGTCATTGTCCATTTGGAATACCCATTTGCGACCCAGCTTTAACTTCCTGACTGATGTCTTGAGATGTTGCTTCAATATATCCACATAATTTTCCTTCTTCATGGTGCGATCTATTTTGTGAAGTGCACCAGTCCCTCCTGCAGCAAAGCACCCCCACAGCATGATGCTGCCACCCCCGTGCTTCACGGTTGGGATGGTGTTCTTTGGCTTGCAAGCATTCCCCCTTTTCCTCCAAACATAACGATGGTCATTATGGCCAAACAGTTCTATTTTTGTTTAATCAGACCAGAGGACATTTCTCCAAATAGTACAATCTTTGTCCCCATGTGCAGTTGCAAACCGTAGTCTGGCTTTTTTTATGGCGGTTTTGGATCAGTGGCTTCTTCCTTGCTGAGCGGCCTTTCAGGTTATGTCGATATAGGACTCGTTTTACTGTGGATATAGATACTTTTGTACCTGTTTCCTCCAGCATCTTCACAAGGTCCTTTGCTGTTGTGGGATTGATTTGCACAGAACGCGTCTCCTTCCTGAGCGGTATGACGGCTGCATGGTCCCATGGTGTATATACTTGCGTACTATTGTTTGTACAGATGAACGTGGTACCTTCAGGCGTTTGGAAATTGCTCCCAAGGATGAACCAGACTTGTGGAGGTCTACAGTTTTTTTTCTGAGGTCTTGGCTGATTTCTTTTGATTTTCCCATGATGTCAAGCAAAGAGGCACTGAGTTTGAAGGTAGGCCTTGAAATACATCTACAGGTACATCTCCAATTGACTCAAATGATGTCAGTTAGCCTAACAGAAGCTTCTAAAGCCATGACATCATTTTCTGGAATTTTCCAAGCTGTTTAAGGCACAGTCAACTTAGTGTATGTAAACTTCTGACCCACTGGAATTGTGATACAGTGAATTATAAGTGAAATAATCTGTCTGTAAACAATTGTTGGAAAAATTACTTGTGTCATGCACAAAGTAGATGTCCTAACCGACTTGCCTAAACTATAGTTTGTTAACAAGAAATTTGTGGAGTGTTTGAAAAACGAGTTTCAATGACTCCAACCTAAGTGTATGTAAACTTCCGACTTCAACTGTATATATATATATATATATGGCTCTTTACCCAGCTGCAGCAAACTCAATCAAATGGTAATGCACAGTGCTAAAAATAGGCCTGGTTGAGAGCTTTCCTCCTTCAGGGGCTGGAGCAGGCACATCTAGATCAATAAAAGCCTATAGATCAAGAAAGGGCCAGAAGCTCAGAATAGCCACCATAGGGAAGCAGTGCCAAAGCCCATACTAAGGGATGATTTATGTAAGGGATAAACGCTGACGTTCTGTACATTACCTTGGAAATAATGGACGATGCAGCGTGACAAGGCAGAGCAGAGTCCCTTTGCAGAGTTAATTTTTCCAAGGTAATGTACAGAAAGGAGGTGTTTATTCCGCTTATACCACAGTTGCCAAAGAAAACAATATGAAAACACAGATTTACCAGTAGAAATACATTTATTTCGTTGATATTTTCATTTTTATAGGCAAATTCATACTTTCTCATCTTGTCACGCCCTGGCTCTGGGGACTCTTTAATGTTGAGCCAGGGTGTTAGTTTCTAGGTTTAGTTTTCTAGGTTTATGTCCTAGATCGTGTGGATCTATGTTGGCCAGGGTGGTTCCCAATCAGAGGCAGCTGATTCTCGTTGTCTCTGATTGGGAACCATACTTAGGCAGCCTGTTTGGCACAGTTAATTGTGGGATCTTGTTCTGTATAGGTTTGTTTTGGTGTAGAACCTTTAGACTTCACGTATCATTTTATTGTTTTTGTTCGTGTCACTGTTCCTGCTCCCCGCACCAAGCCAGTGCTGCGCGTCGCCAGCCCGGTCCGGCCTGTTCCTGCTCCCCGCACCAAGCCAGTGGTGCGCATCGCCAGCCCGGTCTGGCCTGTTCCTGCTCCCCGCACCAAGCCTGTGGTGCGCGTCGCCAGCCCGGTTCGGCCTGTTCCTGCTCCCCGCACCAAGCCAGTGGTGCGCGTCGTCAGCCCGGTCCGGCCCGTTCCTGCTCCCCGCACCAAGCCAGTGGTGCGCGTCGTCAGCCCGGTCCGGCCCGTGCCCGCTCCCCGCACCAAGCCAGTGGTGCGCGTCGTCAGTCCGGCACGGTCCGTGCCTGTTCCACCTGTGCCTGGTCCGGCACCGGTCAGCTGCTCCACGCCGGAGCCAGAGCAATCCGCTCCACCGGTGTTCAGTCCAGCTCCGGCCAGCAGGGCCAGACCACGAGGGCGAGAGAGAGAGTGGTGGTCGCGCCCGGAGCCGGATCGCCTCTGAGGCGGAATGCCCACCCGGCCCCTCCCCTGTGGTGTTTAGTTGGGGGGGGGGGGGGTACTGTCACGCCCTGGCTCTGGGGACTCTTTAATGTTGAGCCAGGGTGGTAGTTTCTATGTTGTATTTTCTATGTTTCGTTCTAGTTCGTGTTTTCTATGTTGGCCAGGGTGGTTCCCAATCAGAGGCAGCTGATTCTCGTTGTCTCTGATTGGGAACCATACTTAGGCAGCCTGTTTGGCACAGTTAATTGTGGGATCTTGATCCGTAAGGTTTGTGTTTAACCCTAGGACTTCACGTATCGTTTATTGTTTTGTTTGTGTGTACTCATTAAAAGAATGTACGCTTATCACGCTGCGCCTTGGTCCGGTTCTTACGACGATCGTGACACATCTTTTGGTTGCTAGAGACACGACCCAGTCGTTCATTCGATTAGTTCGATATTTATGGCTGCGACCAAGTCGTTCGTTCTATATGTTCTGTTGCCATGCTCACTTGCAATGTTCTTATCCCTTGCTTGCTAGCTAGCCAGCTAGCTACGGCTAACAGACACGACCTCTGCAGCCAGAATAACAGCAAAGTAGCTGTTTTCTATTGACATTCATTTGGATACATCCATAACAAGAAGCTGATAATGCCCGATTTTGCCTGGCATAGCTAGAAAAGTTTGCCTTCTCGTCAGGACACTCATCAACACTGACTGTTAATTACGAGGAGATCGCATTGCATATCAAACACTAGGCTAGAAGCTAGCTAAATTGTTTGTTGCCAAACCTGCCAATATGACAACTGAATTAATAAATATTAGTTGCTGAAAACAGCTGGTCAAACTAGAAACATGTGGGAGGATTTGACAGCTTTAGCGTCGGATGGGACAGGAAAAATTCCTGTTCTTCACTCCCAGAAAATATGTATCTGCAAAAACAAATCAATGCAAGTTTTTCCTTGTTGGACCTGCTTTTACAATGTATCCAATTTCAGTGTGTGCGCTTGTTGGTTTAGCTTTCTGTAACTTTGTAGCAGGTACGGTCCGCATGTGTAGGCGCATATTGCTTCATGATTGCAAGGTGTCCCGATATCTTTTCCAACTGTCCCGTTATCTGGTTTTAATGTCCATTCTAGAATGTTTTCTAGCCAATCAGAAACGACATTCAACAATGCTGTGGAATAATCAATGATAATTAGAGTTTACTTAAATAGGGACTGCCCCCCTAATACTTACCTCAAGCCAGCAGAGAGTCCCACTGAGTTTTCCGATGGTCCATGGTGATTCAACCTGCAGTCTACAACACGCGAGAATGCTATGATATCAAGAACAGGCAGGTCCAGGTCACACACTCTTAAACACTCAGTTCCCAGTGTCCATTATAGATCCTTTACATTAGACGAACACAACTCCGGAAAAGCAGACTTTGTTCCAGAATGTCTATGGAGTATCTGGCCATAACACCCCAGATGTTAATATAACATTCACAGATGACTTCACAGGTAGCTGTCTAAAGTATGTCTTCAAGGCAGTAGTAAGAATTACAGCTCTGGGTCTGACCCAATGATGTATATAAACACATTAATATGTGAACATGACATCTATGGTCTCACCAGACAATCTCTCATAGTAGACCTTTACTCTCTTACTTCCACCTCCATTTGTGCTGCAAAGGACTGGGAGTTCCATGTAGTAGGAGTTAGTGACATTAAGACAACATTGAGCTCTCAAGATCCCTACAGGATATTGGTGTAAGCCCATGTTAAAGCTTTGACATGGTGGAGGATGTAGAGATCTGCCACTCAAGGCCAACTGCAATGTGACGATCTCTTGTCGGTCGTTGATTCACGTTGTGCTCTCCCTCTGTAGTGCACACTTTGTAGCAGTATGCTAGGATGATGTCCACCAGGCTGAGCCACACCATGACACAGGCCTTCTTGTCCAGGAAGTAGGAACGGTTGGTGAACTTCCTCAGTTGCTCCTTCTCATCATCAGTGAAGGACACTGCTGCAAAACAACAGTCCAAACTGGGTTTTACACAGGCCTAATCATCCTGACCTGTTTTACAAATGCATTCATTTGGAAGGTCTGTAGTGTGGGAGGAAAACACTACTATGTTGTCAGTTCATTTGGAGAGAATCAAGTCCCTAATGAGTGTCTTCCTCAGTAACTGATCAAGATACCCTTCGACCCAAATTACATTGGTAAAGTTTTATCTGCAACTTTCAGTGCTGAAAACCATGCTGAAAAGTCAGCACTTTCTCTGCAGCTTATGGAACAGCTGAAAACAATCCTTCCCTTTGCCTGTTGAGTGGGGTGCAAGTGGGGAGGGGGGACAGCCCCTATGCTGAGCTCCTGATGTGAGAGGGGCGCTGGTGTGTGGGCCAGCGCGCGCGCACACACACACAGACACACACACCGCAGCAGCAGTTTCAAATGATCCTCTTGGCTGCACTGGGCTCTTGGCTCTGCTGGCAACTGGATTCCTGCTGCATTACGTCAGGGCTTAGATCCCTGCAGACGGTACCGGAGTCCCTCGCCAGTGCATCTGCAGCATCCCAGCCTGGCCAAGCAGAGCACACGCACACACACCTCCCCCTCACCATCCATCCAAGAGACATCATATGTCCCATTAGATCTTCCATTCAATTGTATCCAATCTCCACGGCACTAACTAATCTCAACTTTGATCCTAGCCAATCAAGTGTGAGGGGGAGGGAGGGTGGGGTCAGATGAATGGAGATTAATTTGTGACATAGTTCCTCCAGTCTTCTGAGCAGTCTTCTGAGCAGTCTGCCCCGTAATGTGGCCCTAGCCCCAAGTCCAGATGGTGCCAGTGACATGGAGTAAATATGCCTCCATTAATTGTGCAGGAGGCTGGAAATGACCTCATATACAACTCTACATCACTGAGGAGCTTTTGACGTATGACTTTGGTGGTTCAGAACAATGTGGGGCACACAGGGTCCTCAGAAACTTTAATTCAGCTTATGTCGATTGCCTTATATTCAAACATCAGCGCTTGAAGTTTTATTGAAAATGCAATTGTTTGAGATTTTAATTTTCTGCAGTGAACCTGCTAGTCAATGCAATGAATATAGTGATGAATCACAGACTGCCACTGGCATGTCAAACCAGCCATAAGAAGTGCTGCAGGTCGAGACAGGGCTGTCATGTCCGATCAGCCCTGGCCACTCAGTTCATTTGGACACAGTGGACAGCTGTGGCCTGTCAGTGCTCTGGCCTCGACACAGGGGAGAGAGAGGGGGTACACAGGCCCAGGGTGGGGGGTTCTACTTCATTAGCACTAGTGTCTACACCCATCTGTCAGCTGACATACAGGTAACTGTCTCATTACTCAAATGAGGCATACAAAGTATAATGAAAGCAGGTGCTTCCACACAGGTGTGGTTCCTGAGTTAATTAAGCAATTAATATCCCATCATGCTTAGGGTCATGTGTAAAAATGCTGGACAGGCCATTATTTTGGCCATTATTTTGGCTACCATGGCTATGCCCCAATAGGATGACAATGCCCCCATCCACAAGGCACGAGTGGTCACTGAATAGTTTGATGAGCATGAAAACAATGTAAACCATATGCCATGGCTGTCTCTGTCACCAGATCTCAACCCAACAGAACACTTTTGGGAGATTCTGGACCGGCACCTGAGACAGCGTTTTCCACCACAGTCAACAAAACAACACATTTCTCATGGAAGAATGGTGTCACATACCTCCAATACAGTTACAGACACTTGTAGAATATTTGCCAAGGTGCATCGAAGTTGTTCTGGCTCATTGCGGCCCAACGCCCTATTAAGACACTTTATGTTGGCGTTTCCTTTATTTTGGCAGTTACCTGTATATCTTTGTCTTAGGGGAGGTGAGGGAGGGAAAAAAGCTGAAGAAGGCCAAAATCCAATCAAATCAAATCAAATGTTATTTATCACATGTGCCGAATACAACAGGTGTAGACCTTACACTGAAATGCTTACTTACAAGCCCTTAACCAACAATACAGTTTTAAGAAAAATAAGTGTGGAGTAAAAAAATAGATAAGGAAAAAATAAGAAAGAAAAAGAAATAACAAATAATTAAAGAGCAGCAGTAAAATAACAGTAGCGAGGCTATATACATGATGTACCGGTACAGAGTCAATGTGCGGGGGCACAGGATAGTCAAGGTAATTGAGGTAATATGTACATGTAGGTAGAGTTAAAGTGACTATGCATAGATAATAGTATGAACCATTTTTTTTTTTTTATGTATGCACTCACTAACTGTAAGTCGCTCTGGATAAGGGCGTCTGCTAAATGACTAAAGTGTAAAATGTGATAATAAACAGAGAGTGGCAGCAGCGTAAAAGAGGGGGTGGGTGGAGGGACAATGCAAATAGTCCGGGTAGCCATTTGATTAGCTGTTCAGGTGTCGTATGGCTTGGGGGTAGAAGCTGTTAAGAAGCCTTTTGGACCTAGACTTGGCACTCCGGTACCGCTTGCCGTGCAGTAGCAGAGAGAACAGTCTATGACTAGGGTGGCTGGAGTCTGACAAGTTTTAGGGCCTTCATCTGACACCGCCTGGTATAAAGGTCCTGGATGGCAGGAAACTTGGCAGCAGTGATGTACTGGGCCGTACGCACTACCCTCTGTAGTGCCTTGTGGTCGGAGGCAGAGCAGTTGCCATACCAGGCAGTGATGCAACTTGTCAGGATGCTCTCGATGGTGCAGCTGTAGAATCTTTTCAGGATCTGAGGACCCATGCCAAATAATTTCAGTCTCCTGAGGGGGAATAGGCTTTGTCGTGCACTCTTCACGACTGTCTTGGTGTGTTTGGACCATGATAGTTTGTTGGTGATGTGGACACCAAGGAACTTGAAGCTCTCAACCTGCTCCACTACAGCCCTGTCGATGAGAATGGGGGTGTGCTCGGTACTCATTTTCCTGTAGTCCACAATCATCTCCTTTGTCTTGATCACATTGAGGGAGAGGTTGTTATCCTGGCACCACACAGCCCTGTAAGCAGGAATTTCAGAGGATAGAATTATGGTCAGAGGGCGAGGGAGAGCTTTGTACGCGTCTCTGTGTGTGGAGTAAAGGTGGTCTAGAGTTTTTTCCCCCTCTGGTTGCACATTTAACATGCTGGTAGAAATTAGGTAAAATTGATTTAAGTTTCCCTGCATTAAAGTTTTTTTTTTTTTTTTTCCCCGGCCACTAGGAGTGCCGCCTCTGGATGAGCGTTTTCCTGTTTGCTTATGGCCTTATATAGCTCATTGAGTGCCGTCTTAGTGCCAGCATTGGTGGTAAATAGACAGCTACGAAAAATATAGATGAAAACTCTCTTGGTACATAGTGTGGTCTACAGCTTATCATGAAGTACCTCAGGCGAGCAAAACCTTGAGACTTTCTTAATATTAGATTTCGTGCACCAGCTGTTGTTTACAAATATACACAGACTGCCACCCCTTGTCTTACCGGAGGTGGATGTTCTGTCTTGCCGATGCAGCGTAAACCCGCCAACTGTATGTTATCCATGTCGTCATTTAGCCACGACTCTGTGAAACATAAGATATTAGAGTTTTTAATGGCCCGTTGGTAGGATATTCGTGATCATTGCTCGTCTATTTTATTATCCAATGATTGTGCGTTGGCTAATAGGAATGATGGTAGAGGCAGATTACCCACTTGCCGTCGGATCCTTACAAGGCACCCCGACCTACTTCCCCGATATCTCTGTCTCTTTCTCCTGCAATGACGGGATTTGTGCCTTGTCGGATGTCTGAAGTAAATCCTTCGTCCCGTACGAGGTGAGTAATCGCTGTCCTGATATCCAGAAGCTCTTTTCAGTCATAAGAGACGGTGGCAGAAATGTGAAAGCATAATAATTTAGCCTTCCCACATGATATATGATCAAATATTTAAAATCATAGGCATGGTATCAACATTTTACTGGAAACAGCAACATTTGCTGACCAACACTCTTCTCGACAGGCAAGGGAAGGCTGAAGCTCTTCCAGCTGTCAGTCAAGTCATTAAGTTTAATTTGGCCCATTTATCTGCACCAGGGCTCCGGCTGAGTGCTCTATCTCAGAATGCAGAATGAGAAGAGGGAGTCCACAGAGCTGCAGGGAAAAGTAATGTTCTTTAGAGGGCTGGATTCCTCCTGCCTGCCGCTAATGGGCTGTGTATCAGTGCTGCGTAGTATTGACTGATGGCTGTTGGTCAGTGTGTGATGTCTCCAGCACTAGGCAGAGACAGGGATCCTGGCACTCTCAACCCAACGCACCCTCCTGTCATAATGCTATCTGTTTTTATCTAAATCCTTTCCCGAGTGTACCGTACGACATCCTGCACTAACATAAACTGTGGCTACGGGCCATGTGTTTGAGGCGGTAGGAGCAGAGGAATTAGCAGGCTGTTAGGAGAGCTGGATGGCATAATTGAATTGTCTCACAGTGGAGCAGTGAGGCTCCATACACCCTTATCGCTCTCATCTGAGAGAGAAGAAAAAACAAACAAACCTGGGGGGCCCAGCCAGCCAGCCATCCAGCCAGCCGTGGATTACACCTTTTAAATGACTCATCGATTTCATATGTCACGGACTGACAGAGAAAGAATAAAGAGAAAGAGGATTTGTGGGAAAGTGAGGCAATGGTGATACAGTGGCTTGCGAAAGTATTCACCCCCCTTGGCATTTGTCCTATTTTTTGTTGCCTTACAACCTGGAATTAAAATTGATTTTTTGAGGTTTTGTATCATTTGATTTACACAACATGCCTACCACTTTGAAGATGCAAAATATTTTTTGGGGTGAAACAAACAAGAAATAAGACCAGAAAACAGAAAACTTGAAAGTGCAAACTATTCACCCCCCCCAACATCAATACTTTGTAGCAATTACAGCTGCAAGTCTCTTGGGGTATGTCTCTATAAGCTTGGCACATGTAGCCACTAGGATTTTTGCCCATTCTTCAAGGCAAAACTGCTCCAGCATCTTCAAGTTGGATGGGTTCCACTGGTGTACAGCAATATTTAAGTCATACCACAGATTCTCAATTGGATTGAGGTCTGGGCTTTGACTAGGCCATTCCAAGACATTTAAATGTTTCCCCTTAAACCACTTGAGTGTTGCTTTAGCAGTATGCTTAGGGTCATTGTCCTGCTGGAAGGTGAACCTCCGTCCCAGTCTCAAATCTCTGGAAGACTGAAACAGGTTTCCCTCAAGAATTTCCCTGTATTTAGCGCCATCCATCATTCCTTCAAGTCTGACCAGTTTCCCAGTCCCTGCCGATGAAATACATCCCACAGCATGCTGCCACCACCATGCTTCACTGTGGGGATGGTGTTCTCGGGGTAATGAGAGGTGTTGGGTTTGCGCCAGACATAGCGTTTTCCTTGATGGCCAAAAAGCTCACTTTTAGTCTCATCTGACCAGTGCCCCTTCTTCCATATGTTTGGGGAGTCTCCCACATGGCTTTTGAAGAACACCAAACATGTTTGCTTATTTTTTTCTTCAAGCAATGGCTTTTTTCTGGCCACTCTTCCGTAAAGCCCAGCTCTGTGGAGTGTACGGCTTCAAGTGGTCCTATTGACAGATACTCTAATCTCCGCTTTGGAGCTTTGCAGCTCCTTCAGGATTATCTTTGGTCTCTTTGTTGCCTCTCTGATTAATGCCCTCCTTGCCTGGTCCGTGAGCTTTGATGGGAGGCCCTCTCTTGGCAGGTTTGTTGTGGTGCCATATTATTTCCATTTTTTAATAATGGATTTAATTGTGCTCTTTGGGATGTTCAAAGTTTCAGATATTTTTTTATAACCCAACCCTGATCTGTACTTCTCCACAACTTTGTCCCTGACCTGTTTGGAGAGCTCCTTGGTCTTCATGGTGCCGCTTGCTTGGTGGTGTTGCAGACTCTAGGGCCTTTCTGAAGAGGTGTATATATACTGAGATCATGTGACACTTAGATTGCACACAGGTGGACTTTATTTAACTAATTATGTGACTTCTGAAGGTAATTGGTTGCATCGGATCTTATTTAGGGGCTTTTTAGCAAAGGGGGTGAATACATATGCACGCACCACTTTTCAGTTATTTTTTTCATTTCACTTCACCAATTTGGACTATTTTGTGTATGTCCATTACTGTACATGAAATCCAAATAAAAATCAAATTAAATTACAGGTTGTAATGCAACAAAATAGGAAAAAACGCCAAGGGGGATGAATAGTTTTGCAAGGCACTGTATATACTATTTGCCAGATTCCCACTCGACCTACAGTACCAGTCAAACGTTTAGACACACCTACTCATTAAAGGGTTTTTCAAATAGCCACCCTTTGCCTTGATGACAGCTTTGAACACTCTTGGCATTCTCTCAACCAGTTTCACCTGGAATGCTTTTCCAGCAGTCTTGAAGGAGTTCCCACATACAGTGGGGAGAACAAGTATTTGATACACTGCCGATTTTGCAGGTTTTCCTACTTAAAAAGCATGTAGAGGTCTGTAATTTTTATCATAGGTACACTTCAACTGTGAGAGACTAAAACAAAAATCCAGAAATCACATTGTATGATTTTTAAGTAATTAATTTGCATTTTATTGCATGACATAAGTATTTGATCACCTACCAACCAGTAAGAATTCCGGCTCTCACAGACCTGTTAGTTTTTCTTTAAGAAGCCCTCCTGTTCTCCACTCATTACCTGTAGTAACTGCACCTGTTTGAACTCGTTACCTGTATAAAAGACACCTGTCCACACACTCAATCAAACAGACTCCAACCTCTCCACAATGGCCAAGACCAGAGAGCTGTGTAAGGACATCAGGGATACAATTGTAGACCTGCACAAGGCTGGGATGGGCTACAGGACAATAGGCAAGCAGCTTGGTGAGAAGGCAACAACTGTTGGCGCAATTATTAGAAAATGGAAGAAGTTCAAGATGACGGTCAATCATCCTCGGTCTGGTGCTCCATGCAAGATCTCACCTCGTGGGGCATCAATGATCATGAGGAAGGTGAGGGATCAGCCCAGAACTACACGGCAGGACCTGGTCAATGACCTGAAGAGAGCTGGGACCACAGTCTCAAAGATAACCATTAGTAACACACTACGCCTGTCACGGAATCAGCCGAGACTGCTCCTCCTCCTTGCTCGGGCAGGCTTCGGCGTTCGTCGTCCCCGGAGTACTAGCTGCTACCGATCTATGTTTCTGTGTTTGACCTGTTTTGTCTTGATTGTGTACACTTGTTTCCTATTATGTTGTATTGTATTCCCTATATAACCCTCTGTCGTTCATTGTGTGTTGTGTGTGATTGTTCTCGTCATTTTCGGCAGTTGCTATTGTGCGGGTATTCTCCTCCCTGTTTGGAGGTTGTTTTGTACTCTGGTTACTTTGTTAGTAAAAGTATGTTTCCAGTAGCTCGGTGTCCTGCGTTTGACTTCGCCTACCGCATTCACGTCGCACTTTGACAACGCCGTCATGGATTAAAATCCTGCAGCGCACGCAAGGTCCCCCTGCTCAAGCCAGCGCATGTCCAGGCCCGTCTGAAGTTTGCCAATGACCATCTGGATGATCCAGAGGAGGAATGGGAGAAGGTCATGTGGTCTGATGAGACAAAAATATAGCTTTTTGGTCTAAACTCCACTCGCCGTGTTTGGAGGAAGAAGAAGGATGAGTACAACCCCAAGAACACCATCCCAACCGTGAAGCATGGAGGTGGAAACATCATTCTTTGGGGATGCTTTTCTGCAAAGGGGGCAGGACGACTGCACCGTATTGAGGGGAGGATGGATGGGGCCATGTATCGCGAGATCTTGGCCAACAACCTCCTTCCCTCAGTAAGAGCATTGAAGATGGGTCGTGGCTGGGTCTTCATAACGGTCCTCTTAGTATATCAAAAAAGGTTTGGTATACCTCTACTGGTATGCCATCCAACCCTGGAGTTTTCCCAGACTTAAAGTCTTTAATTGCATCCAGAAGTTCCTCCTCTGTAATTTCACCTTCACATGAGTCTTTCTGTGTGGCTGTTGATTTGACATTATCAATAGAAAAAACATCTCTACAATTAGCTTCAGTTAGAGGAGATGGAGGCAACTGAAATTTGGTGAATTATGGGTGACTCCGTCAATTGTAACCAGTTTCATTAAGTTCTTTTTGGTAGCATTCCTATGTTGAAGCTTAAAAAGGAATTTTGTGCATTTTTCCCCATATTCCATCCAGTTCGCTTTATTTTTGTAATATATTACACTTGATCTTTCTTGAATAAGTTTCTCCATTTCTTTTTGTTTTTCCTCTAATTTATTCTGAGCCTCTATGTTACAGTTGTTATTGCCATCTATCTGTTCTGTTAGACTTTCTATTTCCTTTCTTAGTATAAACTCTTTTGACCTAAATTGCTTTTGTTTTCAAGATGAGTACTGAATTGCATGGCCTCTAAAGGCACATTTAAAGGTGTCCCATACAATAAGGGGATTCGCTGTACCTATGTTATGTTGGAAAAAGTCAGTTATAAATTCATTTGTTCTAATTATAAATAAATTATCATCCAATAGGCTTTGATTACATTTCCAATATCCTCGCCCACGTGGAAATTCAGTAAGAGTAATGTATTTGCCTATTATATGATGGTCCGACCGCATTCTGTCCCCTATCAACACTTAAAAAAAAACTTTTGGTGCCAACGAGAATGAGATAAGAAAGAAGTCAAGACGACTAGCTTGATTCAGTCTCCGCCATGTATATCTCACTAGATCAGTATATTTAAGCCTCCATATGCAGTGGGGAGAACAAGTATTTGATACACTGCCGATTTTGCAGGTTTTCCTACTTACAAAGCATGTAGAGGTCTGTAATTTTTATCATAGGTACACTTCAACTGTGAGAGACGGAATCTAAAACAAAAATCCAGAAAATCACATTGTATGATTGTTTTGTAATTAATTTGCATTTTGGCCCACTCCTCCATACAGACCTTCTCCAGATCCTTCAGGTTTCGGGGCTGTTGCTGGGCAATACGGACTTTCAGCTCCCTCCAAAGATTTTCTATTGGGTTCAGGTCTGGAGACTGGCTAGGCCACTCCAGGACCTTGAGATGCTTCTTACGGAGCCACACCTTAGTTGCCCTGACTGTGTGTTTCGGGTCGTTGTCATGCTGGAAGACCCAGCCATGACCCATCTTCAACGCTCTTACTGAGGGAAGGAGGTTGTTGGCCAAGATCTCGCGATACATGGCCCCATCCATCCTCCCCTCAATACGGTGCAGTCGTCCTGTCCCCTTTGCAGAAAAGCATCCCCAAAGAATGATGTTTCCACCTCCATGCTTCACAGTTGGGATGGTGTTCTTGGGGTTGTACTCATCCTTCTTCTTCCTCCAAACACGGTGAGTGGAGTTTAGACCAAAAAGCTCTATTTTTGTCTCATCAGACCACATGACCTTCTCCCATTCCTCCTCTGGATCATCCAGATGGTCATTGGCAAACTTCAGACGGGGCTGGACATGCACTGGCTTGAGCAGGGGGACCTTGCGTGTGCTGCAGGATTTTAATCCATGATGGCGTAGTGTGTTACTAATAGTTTTCTTTGAGACTGTGGTCCCAGCTCTCTTCAGGTCATTGACCAGGTCCTGCCGTGTAGTTCTGGACTGATCCCTCACCTTCCTCATGATCATTGATGCCCCACAAGGTGAGATCTTGCATGGAGCCCCAGACCGAGGGTGATTGACCGTCATCTTGAACTTCTTCCATTTTCTAATAATTGCGCCAACAGTTGTTGCCTTCTCACCAAGCTGCTTGCCTATTGTCCTGTAGCCCATCCCAGCCTTGTGCAGGTCTACAATTTTATCCCTGATGTCCTTACACAGCTCTCTGTTCTTGTCCATTGTGGAGAGGTTGGAGTCTGTTTGATTGAGTGTGTGGACAGGTGTCTTTCATACAGGTAACAAGTTCAAACAGGTGAAGTTAATACAGGAAATGAGTGGAGAACAGGAGGGCTTCTTAAAGAAAAACTAACAGGTCTGTGAGAGCCGGAATTCTTACTGGTTGGTAGGTGATCAAATACTTATGTCATGCAATAAAATGCAAATTAATTACTTAAAAATCATACAATGTGATTTTCTGGATGTTTGATTTAGATTCCGTCTCTCACAGTTGAAGTGTACCTATGATAAAAATTACAGACCTCTACATGCTTTGTAAGTAGGAAAACCTGCAAAATCGGCAGTGTATCAAATACTTGTTCTCCCCACTGTATCTACTAGTTCTAATGTATCCATGACATTCACAATTTCCTTAAGAGCATGTGGGTGATTGTTTGTGGTGTGATTTCCTTTACGGTCCATTGAGCTATTTAAAACAGTATTATAATCCCCCACCATAATAATATTGTCTTGAATTGCTTGCAGGGTTGATCATTTATTATATATATTGTCAAAGAATTGTGGATCATCATTATTTGGTCCGTAAAAGTTAATGAGCCATATCTGTTTATGGTCCAATAACATATTTAAAATAATCCATCTACCTTGCGTATCTATTTGGACAATTTGCACATTCGGATTGAAATTACTATTAATTAATATCATCACCCCTTTTGAATTTCTTTGCCCATGGGAGAAGTATATTTCCCCCCCCCATTCTTTTTTCCACGCTACTTCATCTCGAATTGTTGAATGAGTTTCCTGTATACAATAGATATTATATTCCTTCTCTTTGAGCCATGTAAATATTGTTCTTCTTTTGTTATTATCAGCTAAGCCATTACAATTATAACTGGCTATACTTATTTCACCATACACCATAATGAGATACAAGTTTCAAGTCTATTTATCATTATATATGTTTGTAAATGTACCAATAAAAAATACCGTAATGATTGAGTGTCCATATAGCTGTACCGTGATATTTGCATTGCTACGGAGTAACCCTTCAATTGTTTTCCACTAATTCCCCTGCTAAAGCCCCTCCCCATCCCAAGTTGAGCCGTTATCCCAGTGATCAGCATCCCACCCACGTCCCTCCGGATCCCTAAGGCCCCGAGAGGCCAGGACCAATCCATCGAAAACAGCACACAGTGCCACCCACAAAACAGAAGCAGATTAACCGCCAAAAGCATTTCCAATGCTTTCACCTCTCTATATATCTATATAACTATTTTAAAAAAATCATGCATATCCTATTTTCCATCATTATCAATTAATATGCGTAATAATGTCGGCAGTTCACGCGTAGGATTCTAACATATAACCCGGATTGCCATTGTATTACATTTAATTCATTGACAAGCAATTATTATCCTAGCAAATAATTCCCGTGGTCCATCCCATACCCCCCCCTCCCCCACAACATCCCCACCCCCCCACAACAGATGCCAGACAAGCACACACGCACATACTCACATACTCCAACTATTTTGTTACATATACATTATTCATACAAGCCAATGACCTTACCTGCAGTCTAGTGAACACTCCGGACCTCTGATTCCCAAAGCCATACTTCTGCAGTTCTTTCAGCTGCTCCTCAGAGGTCTCCATGTACACCTGCTGCTCAATCTGCCAGTCAAAATTGTCTTCATCATCATTTTCCTCACCTTTCATACTCCCACTGCACGCCTCTGTAATGTAAAGCATCAATGTCTTGATGAGAAACCAAACCATTCAGCCAAATCGTATTACTAAAATCACCAATGACAAAATCCAGTGGGGGTTTCTGTCCTCAGTCCTTACATCAATAAGGCTTCCAACCACATACTGCTACATTAATCTAATCTAACATCTCAGTCTCTTCAACCAGGGCCCAGTTTTTCTAAAGTTATCTATCTGGATTTCGCCTATTGGATAAGATTAAATGCATAGAATTAGAATGAATAGAACAGGAGTCCCCATTCAAGTCAATGATTTGTCTGTTCTGTTCATTCTATTTCTATGCATTTAATCCTATCCGATAGGAGAAATTCAGATAGATACTTTTGACAAACTGGGGCCAGGATACTCTTCAACATACCCAGGTCTACCACCAGAGGCTTGGGTGAGTGGGAGCCGTTGAGAGCCAGGAGACTGGTCAGCATCTGGAGCCCTTGAAAGTGCTCCCCTGCAGTCTCCTTGGAGACACATCACAGAGAGAGCAGGTGAAACAAGCGGCAGCAGAGATCTGCGATTTAAAAAATACAACAATAGAATGTTTAGCTGTACAAGATGTATAGATGTAGACAATGTGGAAGCAAATGGGATAGAATTGTCTTCCTCTAAACTGTCCTGAAGCATCAGATCATTTCTGTTCATCAATTAGATACGGCTACTGTAGTACAATGTACTGTAGTACAATAAATGTTAATGATAAATGCATAATTGAATCTCTGCAGAACAGACACCTATCCAGTCTAAAGCAGAAGTTTGGTTCTCTCAAAAGAGCAATTAAAAGAGAAAGACTACACAATCTATAAAATATGTGACCATTCCTTCACGTCTAGACAAGGAGATAATTTTAAACATTTTAAAGAACTCATAAAACTTTCAACACTTTGGAGTATTTATCTTTAAAATGCTTTATGCTAGTTGGCTAATTGCCTTGACTGTGGGCTCCAAAAGAGGCATCTTAATGATTACTAATTACGAGTGCAAACGGGGATACCCATTAGAGAAGCTTTATTAGCAGCAGTTAGTGGCTTATTTAGACAGTTTGTCAAACAGGACATCGCTGATCGAGGGCCAATGAGGTGTAAGTGTAGATAAGACTAACACTCCACCAACCCAACATAATTAAGAGATCATTTGAAATGAAACTCATTAAAGAGAGATAGGAGTGTTCCATTCCTAACTGATAAAATTGCTTTGCCGCTTACACTAGTGATAAACACTTTGAATCAAAGTAGCCTCACGAGAATGAGTTGGTAAATAAAATAAATGAATAAAACATAAAAGGCCATGTGTCACTAAGTAGGCCTGTAGGAGGCATTCATTATTACATCACAGACAGCTCAAATTGTCCTTCATATCTAATAGCATAGCCAGCGATTAAGCCTGGGTGACTGACTGACTTGAGTAAGTCTTAAAGAGCCCCAGGGATCAATCCCACTGACTGCTATCAGCCCCATGACTCCGGGTCCTGCTAGAGTATCTCTGACTAGCTGTAGTACTAACCGCAGTCTAGTGAGAAAAGAGAACATCCTCCTAATCACATGTAAAGCAGATCTGATTACAAGGAGGTCAAACGCACTGACAATGATAGGGTCACATTGCTTTTTAATGAAAGGGTGAATACTGCATTATCCGTTTTTCCCCTATATTCATTTAGCAGCTAAATCGTTGCCGCCACTCCAAAAAATATTATTAAAAATATTATATATACACTATGCATTCGGAAGCATGGAGGTGGAAACATCATTCTTTGGGGATGCTTTTCTGCAAAGGGGACAGGACGACTGCACCGTATTGAGGGGAGGATGGATGGGGCCATGTATCGCGAGATCTTTGCCAACAACCTCCTTCCATCAGTAAGAGCATTGAAGATGGGTCGTGGCTGGCTCTTCCAGCATGACAACGACCCGAAACACACAGCCAGGGCAACTAAGGAGTGGCTCCGTAAGAAGCATATCAAGGTCCTGGAGTGGCCTAGCCAGTCTCCAGACATGAACCCAATAGAACATCTTTGGAGAGAGCTGAAAGTCTGTATTGCCCAGCGACAGCCCCGAAACCTGAAGGATCTGGAGAAGGTCTGTATGGAGGAGTGGGCCAAAATCCCTGCTGCAGTGTGTGCAAACCTGGTCAAGACCTACAGGAAATGTATGATCTCTGTAATTGCAAACAAAGGTTTCTGTACCAAATATTAAGTTCTGCTTTTCTGATGTATCAAATACTTATGTCATACAATAAAATGCAAATTAATTACTTAAAAATCATACAATGTGATTTTCTGGATTTTTGTTTTAGATTCCGTCTCTCACAGTTGAAGGGTACCTATGATAAAAATTACAGACCTCTACATGCTTTGTATGTAGGAAAACCTGCAAAATCGGCAGTGTATCAAATACTTGTTCTCCCCACTGTAGGGGAAAAAAGTATTTAGTCAGCCACCAATTGTGCAAGTTCTCCCACTTAAAAAGATGAGAGAGGCCTGTAATTTTCATCATAGGTACACGTCAACTATGACAGACAACATTTTTAATGAATTTATTTGCAAATTATGGTGGAAAATAAGTATTTGGTCAATAACAAAAGTTTCTCAATACTTTGTTATATACCCTTTGTTGGCAATGACACAGGTCAAATGTTTTCTGTAAGTCTTCACAAGGTTTTCACACACTGTTGCTGGTATTTTGGTCCATTCCTCCATGCAGATCTCCTCTAGAGCAGTGATGTTTTGGGGCTGTCGCTGGGCAACACGGACTTTCAACTCCCTCCAAAGATTTTCTATGGGGTTGAGATCTGGAGACTGGCTAGGCCACTCCAGGACCTTGAAATGCTTCTGACGAAGCCACTCCTTCATTGCCCGGGCGGTGTGTTTGGGATCATTGTCATGCTGAAAGACCCAGCCACGTTTCATCTTCAATGCACTTGCTGATGGAAGGAGGTTTTCACTCAAAATCTCACGATACATGGCCCCATTCATTCTTTCCTTTACACGGATCAGTCGTCCTGGTCCCTTTGCAGAAAAACAGCCCCAAAGCATGATGTTTCCACCCCCATGCTTCACAGTAGGTATGGTGTTCTTTGGATGCAACTCAGCATCCTTTGTCCTCCAAACACGACGAGTTGAGTTTTTACCAAAAAGTTCTATTTTGGTTTCATCTGACCATATGACATTCTCCCAATCCTCTTCTGGATCATCCAAATGCACTCTAGCAAACTTCAGACGGGCCTGGACATGTACTGGCTTAAGCAGGGGGACATGTCTTGCACTGCAGGATTTGAGTCCCTGGCGGCGTAGTGTGTTACTGATGCTAGGCTTTGTTACTTTGGTCCCAGCTCTCTGCAGGTCATTCACTAGGTCCCCCCGTGTGGTTCTGGGATTTTTGCTCACCGTTCTTGTGATCATTTTGACCCCACGGGGTGAGATCTTGCGTGGAGCCCCAGATCGAGGGAGATTATCAGTGGTCTTGTATGTCTTCCATTTCCTAATAATTGCTCCCACAGTTGATTTCTTCAAACCAAGCTGCTTACCTATTGCAGATTCAGTCTTCCCAGCCTGGTGCAGGTCTACAATTTTGTTTCTGGTGTCCTTTGACAGCTCTTTGGTCTTGGCCATAGTGGAGTTTGGAGTGAGACTGTTTGAGGTTGTGGACAGGTGTCTTTTATACTGATAACAAGTTCAAACAGGTGCCATTAATACAGGTAACGAGTGGAGGACAGAGAAGCCTCTTAAAGAACAAGTTACAGGTCTGTGAGAGCCAGAAATCTTGCTTGTTTGTAGGTGACCAAATACTTATTTTCCACCATCATTTGCAAATAAATTCATTAAAAATCCTACAATGTAATTTTCTGGAGAAAGAATTCTCAATTTGTCTGTCATAGTTGACGTGTACCTATGATGAAAATTACAGGCCTCTCTCATCTTTTTAAGTGGGAGAACTTGCACAATTGGTGGCTGACTAAATACTTTTTTCCCCACTGTAGTATGAAAAAAGTATGAAGAATGTATGCACTCACTAAAACTATAAGTCGCTCTGGATAAGAGCGTCTGCTAAATGACTAAAATGTAATATATATATATACAGCTGCGGAAAAAATTAAGACACCACTGCAAAATTATCAGTTTCTCTGGTTTTACTATTTATAGGTATATGTTTGGGTAAAAATAACAAATTCCAAATAAAAATATTGTCATTTAGAGCATTTATTTGCAGAAAATTACAACTGGTCAAATAACAAAAAAGATGCAGTGTTGTCAGACCTCGAGTAATGCAAAGAAAATAAGTTCATGTTCATTTTTAAACAACACAATACTAATGTTTTAACTTAGGAAGAGTTCAGATATCAATATTTGGTGGAATAACCCGGATTTTCAATTACAGCTTTCATGCGTCTTGGCATGCTCTCCACCAGTCTTTCACATTGATGTTGGGTGACTTTATGCCACTCCTGGCACAAAAATTCAAGCAGCTTAGCTTTGTTTGATGGCTTGTGACCATCCATCTTCCTCTTGATTACATTCCAGAAGTTTTCAATGGGGTTCAGGTCTGGAGATTGGGCTGGCCATGACAGGGTCTTGATCTGGTGGTCCTCCATCCACACCTTGATTGACCTGGCTGTGTGGCATGGCGCATTGTCCTGCTGGAAAAACCAATCCTCAGAGTTGGGGAACAATGTCTGAGCAAAAGGAAGCAAGTTTTCTTCCAGGACAACCTTGTACGTGGCTTGATTCATGCGTCTTCACAAAGACAAATCTGCCCGATTCCAGCCTTGCTGAAGCACCTACAGATCATCACAGATCCTCCACCAAATTTCACAGTGGGTGCGAGACACTGTGGCTTGTAGGCCTCTCCAGGTCTCCATCTAACCACCTACGGTTGTTGAGTGACATTCGAATGAGTTGGCGGTCATCCCGGTCAGTAGAGAGTCGTTTTCGCCCTCTGCCGGTCTGTAGCTTTGTTGTCCCCAAT